AGAAATAAATTAAAATAAAATATAATAATAATATATAATATAATATAAAATATAATAATAATAATATATAATATAATATAAAATGTAATAATAATATATAATATAATATAAAATATAATAATAAATTAAAATAAAATATAATAACAAATTAAAATAATATATAATAATAAATTAAAAAAAATATAATAATAAATTTAAATAAAACATAATATAATAATAAATTAAAATAAAATATCATAACAAATTGAAATTAAATATAACAATAAATTAAAATAAAATACAATAATAATAAATTAAAATAAAATATAATAATAATATAATATAAAAAATAATAATATAAAATAAAATTTAATAATATAAAATAAAATTTTATAATATAAAATAAAATATAATTATAATATAAGATAAAATATAACAATAAATTAAAATAAAATATAATAATAAATTAAAACAAAATATGGTATAATAATGTATAAAATAAATAATAATGTAAAATAATAAAATAAAATAAAATATATTAAAATTAAATATAATAATATAAAATAAAATATAATAATATAAAATAAAATATAATAATATAAAATAAAATATAATAATATAAAATAAAATATAATAATAAATTAAAAAAAAAATATAATAATAAATTTAAATAAAACATAATATAATAATAAATTTAAATAAAACATAATATAATAATAAATTAAAATAAAATAGGATAACAAATTAAAATAAAATATAATAATAAATTAAAATAAAATACAATAATAAATGAAAATAAAATATAATTATAATATAAAATAAAATATAACAATAAATTAAAATAAAATATAATAATAAATTAAAACAAAATATAATACGGTATAAAATAAATAATAATGTAAAATAATATATAAAAATATATTAAAATAAAATATAATAATAATAATATAAAATAAAATATAATAATAATATAAAATAAAATATAATAATAATATAAAATAAAATGTAATAATAATATAAAATAAAATATAATAATAATATAAAATAAAATATAATAATAATATAAAATAAAATATAATAATAAAATAATAAAAATAGAATAATAATATAATAATAATAATAATAATAATAATATATAATAATAAATAATATAATATTAATAATAATAATATAATAATAATAATAATAATTAATATATAATAATAATAATAATAATAATAATAATAAAATAATAATATAAATAAAATAATAATATAATAATATAATAATAATATAATAATAATAATAAATAATATAATAATAATAATAATATAATAATAATAAATAATAATAATAATAATAATAATAATAATAATAATAATAATAATTTTTTTTTTTTTTATTTCGAGGCTGGGGAACAAAAAATGTCTACACACACCCGCAGAAAACGTCTTTCTGTGGGTAGTGCACGGTTCGCGCTAATCGCTGACATGCTAAAAAACTCCCCTTTCCAGGATGAAGTACATGACCCGGAACCACCACTAGGGTATTGCTTCAGGTCATGCACATCCTGATTGTAAGATATAATCTTACGTCGCTGCTGTTGTACCTGCGTCCAGGTGCCTCTTTTTTGCGCGAAGTACTGCCTCCACGTGCCTCGCCACCACGTTCCAGTTGTTTTCACTTGCTAGTAGTAAGGGTACTACATTTTCCGGGGTCCAAATGCCGCCTATCTGTGCTTGCAGGTTGGTTCTCTCGATTAACCATTGATTGCATTCAAAAAACGTGTGTTCTACATCGTCGACATCAGCATCGCCATAGATGCAACTCTGCTCCTCTCGAATATTCATCCGGTACAGATATTTGCCGAAGTACCCGTGCCCGGAGAAGAATTGTGTCAGGTAATAGTTTACCTCGCCGAACTTCCTTGTGGTCCAGGCGACTAAGTCCGGGATTAGTCTTGCAGTCCACCTACCACTAGTTTCGTTAGTCCACCGACTTTGCCACTCTATCATTGTGTGTTCCCGATAATTTGTGGCTACGCTGCTGTTTTCGTTGCTTTGGCGGCTTAACCATGCTTGCCTCCGTTCCATGGCCATGAGGTCGATGGGTATTGAGCTGCTTATAACAAGGACCGCCGCACCTGAAACCGTACGGTATGCAGATGCTACCCTGAGTGCCGCTGTTCTCTGGATTTTTTCGAGCGCATTTCGCTTCTGGTTAATCTGTAATGCATTAGACCATACTTCAGAACCGTAGAGTAGAATCGCGTTCACAACTGTCATTAGCAGTTTTCGCTTGTCTTCTGTTGGGCCGCCAACGTTTGCCATTAGCTTGCTTAAGGACGCTGAGGCCTTTGAAGCCTTTTCACCTGCATGTTTTATCTGGGCCCAAAACGACATCCTGGAGTCCAGCTGGATGCCCAGATATTTCATTTCCTTGGACGTTTTAATGGTAGAGTTCCATACCCGCATTTCAATTTCCAAGGGTATTTGCTGCTTCGTTAATATAATGAGTTCTGTCTTCTCAGTTGCTAGCTTTAGACCGCGGTCATCCATCCATTCCATCGTGCGTAGCATGACCTGATTTAGTCTGAGCTGTGCTTCGGTTACATTTCGTGCTGTGATGACTGCTGCTACATCATCGGCAAAGCCTACTAGGTGTACGTTGTCCGGCATTTCAATGGAGAATATTTCATCGTAGCTCGCATTCCATAGATCAGGGCCAAGAACGGAGCCCTGCGCTGCTCCGGAGGTGATCTTCTTAATTTTTGTACCACTGCTTGTGTGATAGAGAAGCTCTCTATCGCTAAGGTAGCTGCGGATCATTCGCATCAAGTACATCGGTGTATTAAAGCGTCCTTCAAGGGCGTTGATCACATCGGTCCATTGTAGGCTGTTGAACGCATTCCTAATGTCTAGAGCCGCCAGAAGTACTATACGCTTCGAGTAAGCATTTCCACATTGTGCGGCTTCTACGGTTGCCGCCACATCAGCGATAGCTCCAATGGTGGACTTTCCTGGCCGGAAATCGTGCTGTCTGCTGGATAGTCCCCCAGCGCTCTCAATGGATGCTGCTATACGCGGTTTTAGTAGTCGTTCCAGCAGTTTCCCTGATGTGTCGAGCATACAAAGTGGTCGGTATGCATTTGGCATCTCGGGGTTGCCCTTTCCTTT